GAACGGTGAGGATCCAAATCCTCATCTAATATAATACCCTTTGTATACCTTCCTCAATCAAATCCAGGAGAACCACCAAATAAGTAGGCCATCACATTGGTTACAAAGATAATAGTTGTCACTATATCTAAAAGATTGAATCTTTGGAGTAAAAAGCTCAATCGCAAAGCCTGATTCCTTTCGCATATTGGATATGGTCAAGTCCGTCAGCTGGGGAGCATGGATTTCAAACTTGTGAATATTGCCAACGTAAGAACAATCAAGTAGGGACAGACACCTCAAATTGGGACAACCGCTGAAAGGATCATTCTCATGGACCAAATACTCGAACTCGCATTGAAAAAGATACAAGTGTTGTAGGGAAACAGAATCAAACATTGCGCTGTTAGTTACTATGCCTGCCAGGTGCAGGGTGGTGAGGGAGCGACAAGCAGAGAGTTGAGGTAGATTCCAAATAAAACATTTAGTAGTGATGCTCAGATCCTGAATATCTGTTGGTTTAATGTAGTCAATGATGGAATCTACGATGTCCACATCATCAAGAACATCAAGAAGATCGTCGAACACGAGTTTAAGCATGTTGAGATTGGTGGAAGCGTCTCTACGGGACAACACATGCTGCACGAAACATTGGAAAATGACAGGATCATCGAAGGACGAGTCGAGGAAATTGACGACGGGGAGTGAAGTCCAAAGGGACCTCCATCGCTTGCTGAGAACACTCGTCTGAACTGCTGTTTTTGCGTCCGAAAAAGAAAGTATGTGAAGGATAATTTCATCTGGCAAGTTACTTAGTCTGTCCTCCTTCACTTTCTTCTTCTTCTTCTTCTTCTTTGTGTTTATGTTTTCTTGTGTTTCCACCCTCCAACTCTCCTCCTCAATCGAAGCCTTCATCTTCCCACAAAAGAATCAAGAAACGCAAGAACCTCTTCTTTAATTTCTTTCTCTTTTTCAATCGTTTAATTAGAGCTTTTCTACTCCTAATTTACAGTTGCTAGCTGTTTATATAGATATTGATTTCCTTGGCAAAACTACCCCTTTAATCCTAACTTCAAAAAAATTTGCCAATCTTTTCGAAATCTTTAATCAATTTTACATGATTTTGATATGATTTTCGAAATCTTTCCAAATTTAAAAATATTAAATTTATTATCAATATAACTGATTTGGTAATTGAATTTTTTTCTTTTAATTTTGACCCAAAAAATTGAAATATTATATATTATTTAGTAAATCATTTCATAATTATTTTTACATTTAATAAATAGCTCTAACATTCAAAATATATACAGATGTCAAAATTGACCAGCCCGTCCCATTTGGTCCAAGCCCGTGTGGGTTAGGGTACAAAAGCCCGTAGGAACAAATGAACCTCAATAACAAAGGCCCGGCCAAAAGCCCTATTGGTTAGGGTCAGCCCGCCGGCTATCTAAAATTATAATTGTATAATTTTTTTTTATCATATTCAATACATTAAAAAATATTTTAACAAATAAATATTTAACACTTTCTTGACATATTTTATACAAATTATAAATTTTTTATAATTTAATTTTTTTAATAAAATAATATTTATACACAAATATACAAGTGAAAATCTAAATAAAATTTTAATATAAACACGTGAGACCAAAGACGTTGCCCCTGTTGTAGGGTTCTTAGCCACTGATTCTGCTGAATGGGTTAATGGTCAAGTGATTCGCGTTAACGGTGGCTTTGTTTAGTTTCCTAATAAACTAAACCAAATTATTACCAATTAAATTAGTTTGCGCTGTGTGTGTGGTTACATCAATAGGTTAATAGGTTTATTTTTAGGGCTTATGTATGTCATGTGATAAGAAGATTTTATAATTTCTTGCAGAAACAATATAAATGGGACCTAGTGTTATTTAAAAAAACAAAAAAAAACAAAAGTTTCAGGCACGAATTTCGATCAATTTATGACATAATATAAGCAATTTGCTGTAACATAACCGTTATAAATCTCTTACTTTTATGTTTGAAAGTGTTATAAACATTAATAAACAAACAAAAACGAAAGTTTTGGATTATTTAATCTCCGTTAGCTACAAAGAGACAAATATGAAAACGGATAAATTAGAATCGGCAAAATTGAGGTCAGTTGACTCGTAATCCATCAAAAATAAGTTGGGTTGAGTTGGCAAAAATAAATTGTTAATCTGATTCGAGTCAATTCAGAAAAAACAAGCGAACCCCGCGGACGAGCCAGCTCGAGGGTTGAGAGTTTTTTTTTTTTTAAATACAAAATTTAATATATAAAAATGAACAAAACCCACCTATGTGTCATCGTTTTTCTTCCTTCTATAAACATAAGTCCTTGATCTTCTCACGTCGTTGTCATTTTTATATTATTAGGTTGTGCTAGCTCTGTTTGGTTTAAATATCTTACTCATTTTGGTAGCAAGTAGTTCTGATTGTTTTTCGATGCTGATACAAATTTATTGCGAAAAAAATTCGAAACTAAAACATTTTGCTTTTGCTTCTCATTACGTAACCTTTTTCTAATTTATTTTATAAACTATTATATAAGACAATTGTTTTGTTTAAGCTGATGGAAGCCACAACTGCTGGTGCATTAATACTACATGTTCATTTAAATAAGCTAAAAATGAGACAACCTGCGAGCCATTTTTTTAAGCCAACCCATGAGTCATACTTTCGAGTCAACCCGCGAGCCAACCCTAACCCGACTCGGGTCGAGTTGAGTTGGATTTTTTGGCTCATTTTTTTTTTTAATCAATCCTAACCCGGCTATTTTTTTCAGATTGCATGCGAGTTGGGTAGGGTCGAGTCAGGTTGATCCGTTTTGCCAACCCTTGAATAAATGAACAAAGAAATAATACAAATGAGTTCTGCTATATATATTATTCTTAATGACGTGATTTGATCATAGTTTAATAAGCAAAGGTTATATTTAGTACTTATTTTTCTTACTACTTCTTATTACCAAACCTTAATCGTTAATTTTCGCTAATCTTATGGTTATAATTTATTGAAAATTAATAATTAAGTAATAAGCATAACTTCATAAATTACAATTGTTAGATTGACGGAAATCAATGATTAATATTTAATAGTAAAAGATAGGAAGAAAAAATAGTTAATAAGTATAACATCTCCTAATTTATTATAATTTCCATGTTTCACTCCACAAACCATAGACAAAGATATTTCCCGTCATGGGCTCCCATTGAATCCGATGGTTTAATAATAATTATCATATTTCTATGGGTTTTATTAATCTCATGTTAAAGGAGATAAGTTATCTCATGTCATAGAGATAAACTTGTGGGCTCCAGCACCTGAAAAATAAAAAGAAAAAGAAAAAAATTGGCACAGTTATCGAAGGGTGTGTAGGAGAGAAATTTATCACATGTAGCATAAGAGTAGTTTTTCCTTATTTCTATGGGTTTTATAAGAGTTATGTTGTAGGAAAAATGATTGTGTAATGTTAAAGAGATTCGTTTTGCGTGCCGTAATTTTATTTTTTTATTTTTTCTTCAAAAAGTGTGGGTCCCACAAAATGTTGTGTGTGTAGAAAAGTTTGTTGTGTCATGTTAAATGATAAATGCAAATCCCTATTTCTATACTCTTTTATCTTTTTTTCAACCCGTTTCCCCCAAATTTGCCTCTCTGGAACTGAACTCAACGACCTTATCTGTAATAAGTTTCATACCTATTTTTGCTATTATATATGCATATTGAACTGCCAATTCGTTTTGATTTCAAGTGATGATACCAAATAAATTTCAGAGTAAATATCATTTTCGATCATCGGCAAATTTTACGACGTCCGCTTTAGTCACTAGTAAATAAAAAGGCTATTTGTGATCCTAAGAAATTCAAAATGGATTCATTTTAGTCTTTTTGAGGGACTAGAGTGAATCTTTTTTGAATTTGTGAGAGACCACGATTTCAATTAAATTGGTCAATTTTGAATTTTTTAAGGACCACGAATAATTTTTTTATTTGTTAGGGACTAAAATGATTATCGTGAAATTTGTTGAGAACTAAAAAGACTATTTACTCTGAATTTTATAAAGGTAGATGAAAGTGACAAAATTACAAGCTGACTGCTCCAACTAGTAAGGGTAACAATATCAAACTAGTGTTGTAGACTAGGGTCAATATCATTAGTGATTCCAGGCGCTATCGGCATACATGACATCCAAAGAACTTTTGGCCATACATCATGCATAATATAAATAAAAAAATAGAAGAAGATCCGTTTATAATTTTTTTTTACAAATTACACTATATTTTTTTGGGAGAACATAGTGTAACCTAGTGTTCTCTGAGGAGAACATAGCGTAGTTTGTAAACGAAAAATTTGTAAATATAACTCTCTTCGAACAAATAAGGTTCCAAAACCGAAAACTCAACAAATAAAGCAGTTAATTGTTGGTGATCTTTGAGGTTAGAGAGGCATGAATGTGACATAATAACGTATCGGTCAATTTAGATGTCTGAACTGTTTTAATAATATCAAAACTCATCCCTATTCAAAATATAAAATATGGTTTTGTTATCAATATATATATATATATATATATATATATAAAATATGGTTCAGTTTTACGCCATTTTTAAAAAATCGATTACGATGAAACGGTTTGATTAGGTTTTCAAAGTGGTTTGCTTCTTTTTGATTTTTTGCACAGCCATTGAGTTGTACAAGGGACAAGAGATCCTACATTATGAGGTATAGACAATTTATTGATAAACTTACAACCGATATATTTACTCAAATAACTATATGTTTATCACTCATTTTAGGGAGGCATAATAGTGACCCTTTAAATGAGCCTTTATTGGCCAGAACATGACTTTAGGGTCTAAAACAATAACAATTTATGAATTGCACCCGTCACATTTGGAGACAATCGTGTTTTATGGTCATTTTATTCCTTTTAATTAGTATTCAATGTGAAAATTATAGGATATTAACCATCATATATCATAAAATTCTTTTGTTACATAATTCTGCTTAGGTGTCGTTAGGATGGCTAACAGGATCAATGTCACATGACAATACCCTAACAATCTCATTAGGGTGGGTAACGAGATAACATGTGACATGATACGGTCATTCGTCTCAAATTTTTTTATAATACCATTTAAAAAAACCATTTAAAGCAAGGTTTTTTTTTATGATATCTCGTAAAGTTTTGCGAGTCTTCCTCTACCCTGTTATTCAAGAACGGTGAGGATCCAAATCCTCATCTAATATAATACCCTTTGTATACCTTCCTCAATCAAATCCAGGAGAACCACCAAATAAGTAGGCCATCACATTGGTTGGTATGGCAAGAGGGATATGTGTATCCGTTATTAACTCAAAATTCTTCAAGCTAGTGAAAGGAGAAGACCGACCACACCGTAGAGGAGGATGAACCACAGACAGAACCTAGGAAAAATCAAAGACAGACAAAGAAGTTAGTTCAAAGAACGGTAAGCAATCAACTATTAATTAATTCAATGGCTTTGGTCATTGGATCGACAAAGTAATATACTTACATGAATGATACGAGGTGATAAGGATACAAACTTTGCACTCCCCATCGCTTCAAACAATTTACTCAGCTTAAGAGACAAATTAGTGGCCTTGGTGAATTCTTCGTTGGGCCGAAAACCGCCTAAATCAATATTCACTCTCTCTACAAAGGAAAGGTTTCCCTTAATGAAAAAATCACAAAGATAATAGTTGTCACTATATCTAAAAGATTGAATCTTTGGAGTAAAAAGCTCAATCGCAAAGCCTGATTCCTTTCGCATATTGGATATGGTCAAGTCCGTCAGCTGGGGAGCATGGATTTCAAACTTGTGAATATTGCCAACGTAAGAACAATCAAGTAGGGACAGACACCTCAAATTGGGACAACCGCTGAAAGGATCATTCTCATGGACCAAATACTCGAACTCGCATTGAAAAAGATACAAGTGTTGTAGGGAAACAGAATCAAACATTGCGCTGTTAGTTACTATGCCTGCCAGGTGCAGGGTGGTGAGGGAGCGACAAGCAGAGAGTTGAGGTAGATTCCAAATAAAACATTTAGTAGTGATGCTCAGATCCTGAATATCTGTTGGTTTAATGTAGTCAATGATGGAATCTACGATGTCCACATCATCAAGAACATCAAGAAGATCGTCGAACACGAGTTTAAGCATGTTGAGATTGGTGGAAGCGTCTCTACGGGACAACACATGCTGCACGAAACATTGGAAAATGACAGGATCATCGAAGGACGAGTCGAGGAAATTGACGACGGGGAGTGAAGTCCAAAGGGACCTCCATCGCTTGCTGAGAACACTCGTCTGAACTGCTGTTTTTGCGTCCGAAAAAGAAAGTATGTGAAGGATAATTTCATCTGGCAAGTTACTTAGTCTGTCCTCCTTCACTTTTCTCTTCTTCTTCTTCTTCTTCTTCTTTGTGTTTATGTTTTCTTGTGTTTCCACCCTCCAACTCTCCTCCTCAATCGAAGCCTTCATCTTCCCACAAAAGAATCAAGAAACGCAAGAACCTCTTCTTTAATTTCTTTCTCTTTTTCAATCGTTTAATTAGAGCTTTTCTACTCCTAATTTACAGTTGCTAGCTGTTTATATAGATATTGATTTCCTTGGCAAAACTACCCCTTTAATCCTAACTTCAAAAAAATTTGCCAATCTTTTCGAAATCTTTAATCAATTTTACATGATTTTGATATGATTTTCGAAATCTTTCCAAATTTAAAAATATTAAATTTATTATCAATATAACTGATTTGGTAATTGAATTTTTTTCTTTTAATTTTGACCCAAAAAATTTAAATATTATATATTATTTAGTAAATCATTTCATAATTATTTTTACATTTAATAAATAGCTCTAACATTCAAAATATATACAGATGTCAAAATTGACCAGCCCGTCCCATTTGGTCCAAGCCCGTGTGGGTTAGGGTACAAAAGCCCGTAGGAACAAATGAACCTCAATAACAAAGGCCCGGCCAAAAGCCCTATTGGTTAGGGTCAGCCCGCCGGCTATCTAAAATTATAATTGTATAATTTTTTTTTATCATATTCAATACATTAAAAAATATTTTAACAAATAAATATTTAACACTTTCTTGACATATTTTATACAAATTATAAATTTTTTATAATTTAATTTTTTTAATAAAATAATATTTATACACAAATATACAAGTGAAAATCTAAATAAAATTTTAATATAAACACGTGAGACCAAAGACGTTGCCCCTGTTGTAGGGTTCTTAGCCACTGATTCTGCTGATTGGGTTAATGGTCAAGTGATTCGCGTTAACGGTGGCTTTGTTTAGTTTCCTAATAAACTAAACCAAATTATTACCAATTAAATTAGTTTGCGCTGTGTGTGTGGTTACATCAATAGGTTAATAGGTTTATTTTTAGGGCTTATGTATGTCATGTGATAAGAAGATTTTATAATTTCTTGCAGAAACAATATAAATGGGACCTAGTGTTATTTAAAAAAACAAAAAAAAACAAAAGTTTCAGGCACGAATTTCGATCAATTTATGACATAATATAAGCAATTTGCTGTAACATAACCGTTATAAATCTCTTACTTTTATGTTTGAAAGTGTTATAAACATTAATAAACAAACAAAAACGAAAGTTTTGGATTATTTAATCTCCGTTAGCTACAAAGAGACAAATATGAAAACGGATAAATTAGAATCGGCAAAATTGAGGTCAGTTGACTCGTAATCCATCAAAAATAAGTTGGGTTGAGTTGGCAAAAATAAATTGTCAATCTGATTCGAGTCAATTCAGAAAAAACAAGCGAACCCCGCGGACGAGCCAGCTCGAGGGTTGAGAGTTTTTTTTTTTTAAATACAAAATTTAATATATAAAAATGAACAAAACCCACCTATGTGTCATCGTTTTTCTTCCTTCTATAAACATAAGTCCTTGATCTTCTCACGTCGTTGTCATTTTTATATTATTAGGTTGTGCTAGCTCTGTTTGGTTTAAATATCTTACTCATTTTGGTAGCAAGTAGTTCTGATTGTTTTTCGATGCTGATACAAATTTATTGCGAAAAAAATTCGAAACTAAAACATTTTGCTTTTGCTTCTCATTACGTAACCTTTTTCTAATTTATTTTATAAACTATTATATAAGACAATTGTTTTGTTTAAGCTGATGGAAGCCACAACTGCTGGTGCATTAATACTACATGTTCATTTAAATAAGCTAAAAATGAGACAACCTGCGAGCCATTTTTTTAAGCCAACCCATGAGTCATACTTTCGAGTCAACCCGCGAGCCAACCCTAACCCGACTCGGGTCGAGTTGAGTTGGATTTTTTGGCTCATTTTTTTTTTTAATCAATCCTAACCCGGCTATTTTTTTCAGATTGCATGCGAGTTGGGTAGGGTCGAGTCAGGTTGATCCGTTTTGCCAACCCTTGAATAAATGAACAAAGAAATAATACAAATGAGTTCTGCTATATATATTATTCTTAATGACGTGATTTGATCATAGTTTAATAAGCAAAGGTTATATTTAGTACTTATTTTTCTTACTACTTCTTATTACCAAACCTTAATCGTTAATTTTCGCTAATCTTATGGTTATAATTTATTGAAAATTAATAATTAAGTAATAAGCATAACTTCATAAATTACAATTGTTAGATTGACGGAAATCAATGATTAATATTTAATAGTAAAAGATAGGAAGAAAAAATAGTTAATAAGTATAACATCTCCTAATTTATTATAATTTCCATGTTTCACTCCACAAACCATAGACAAAGATATTTCCCGTCATGGGCTCCCATTGAATCCGATGGTTTAATAATAATTATCATATTTCTATGGGTTTTATTAATCTCATGTTAAAGGAGATAAGTTATCTCATGTCATAGAGATAAACTTGTGGGCTCCATCACCTGAAAAATAAAAAGAAAAAGAAAAAAATTGGCACAGTTATCGAAGGGTGTGTAGGAGAGAAATTTATCACATGTAGCATAAGAGTAGTTTTTCCTTATTTCTATGGGTTTTATAAGAGTTATGTTGTAGGAAAAATGATTGTGTAATGTTAAAGAGATTCGTTTTGCGTGCCGTAATTTTATTTTTTTATTTTTTCTTCAAAAAGTGTGGGTCCCACAAAATGTTGTGTGTGTAGAAAAGTTTGTTGTGTCATGTTAAATGATAAATGCAAATCCCTATTTCTATACTCTTTTATCTTTTTTTCAACCCGTTTCCCCCAAATTTGCCTCTCTGGAACTGAACTCAACGACCTTATCTGTAATAAGTTTCATACCTATTTTTGCTATTATATATGCATATTGAACTGCCAATTCGTTTTGATTTCAAGTGATGATACCAAATAAATTTCAGAGTAAATATCATTTTCGATCATCGGCAAATTTTACGACGTCCGCTTTAGTCACTAGTAAATAAAAAGGCTATTTGTGATCCTAAGAAATTCAAAATGGATTCATTTTAGTCTTTTTGAGGGACTAGAGTGAATCTTTTTTGAATTTGTGAGAGACCACGATTTCAATTAAATTGGTCAATTTTGAATTTTTTAAGGACCACGAATAATTTTTTTATTTGTTAGGGACTAAAATGATTATCGTGAAATTTGTTGAATACATCATGCATAATATAAATAAAAAAATAGAAGAAGATCCGTTTATAATTTTTTTTTACAAATTACACTATATTTTTTTGGGAGAACATAGTGTAACCTAGTGTTCTCTGAGGATAACAAAAATTTGTACCATATAACAAATATATCTTTGATAAAATTCTTTTGTTACATAATTCTGCCCTATTCAAAATATAAAATATGGTTTTGTTATCAAAAAAAAAAAAAATATATATATATATATATATATATATATATATATATATATATAAAATATGGTTCAGTTTTACGCCATTTTTAAAAAATCGATTACGATGAAACGGTTTGATTAGGTTTTCAAAGTGGTTTGCTTCTTTTTTTATTTTTTGCACATTGAGTTGTACAAGGGACAAGAGATCCTACATTATGAGGTATAGACAATTTATTGATAAACTTACAACCGATATATTTACTCAAATAACTATATGTTTATCACTCATTTTAGGGAGGCATAATAGTAACCCTTTAAATGAGCCTTTATTGGCCAGAACATGACTTTAGGGTCTAAAACAATAACAATTTATGAATTGCACACATTTGATACAATCGTGTTTTATGGTCATTTTATTCCTTTTAATTAGTATTCAATGTGAAAATTATAGGATATTAACCATCATATATCATTTTTTTGTTACATAATTCTGCTTACCATTTAAAAAAACAATCTCATTTAAAGCAAGGTTTTTTTTTTTATAATACCATTTAAAAAAACCATTTAAAGCAAGGTTTTTTTTATGATATCTCGTAAAGTTTTGCGAGTCTTCCTCTACCCTGTTATTCAAGAACGGTGAGGATCCAAATCCTCATCTAATATAATACCCTTTGTATACCTTCCTCAATCAAATCGGGATATGTGTATCCGTTATTAACTCAAAATTCTTCAAGCTAGTGAAAGGAGAAGACCGACCACACCGTAGAGGAGGATGAACCACAGACAGAACCTAGGAAAAATCAAAGACAGACAAAGAAGTTAGTTCAAAGAACGGTAAGCAATCAACTATTAATTAATTCAATGGCTTTGGTCATTGGATCGACAAAGTAATATACTTACATGAATGATACGAGGTGATAAGGATACAAACTTTGCACTCCCCATCGCTTCAAACAATTTACTCAGCTTAAGAGACAAATTAGTGGCCTTGGTGAATTCTTCGTTGGGCCGAAAACCGCCTAAATCAATATTCACTCTCTCTACAAAGGAAAGGTTTCCCTTAATGAAAAAATCACAAAGATAATAGTTGTCACTATATCTAAAAGATTGAATCTTTGGAGTAAAAAGCTCAATCGCAAAGCCTGATTCCTTTCGCATATTGGATATGGTCAAGTCCGTCAGCTGGGGAGCATGGATTTCAAACTTGTGAATATTGCCAACGTAAGAACAATCAAGTAGGGACAGACACCTCAAATTGGGACAACCGCTGAAAGGATCATTCTCATGGACCAAATACTCGAACTCGCATTGAAAAAGATACAAGTGTTGTAGGGAAACAGAATCAAACATTGCGCTGTTAGTTACTATGCCTGCCAGGTGCAGGGTGGTGAGGGAGCGACAAGCAGAGAGTTGAGGTAGATTCCAAATAAAACATTTAGTAGTGATGCTCAGATCCTGAATATCTGTTGGTTTAATGTAGTCAATGATGGAATCTACGATGTCCACATCATCAAGAACATCAAGAAGATCGTCGAACACGAGTTTAAGCATGTTGAGATTGGTGGAAGCGTCTCTACGGGACAACACATGCTGCACGAAACATTGGAAAATGACAGGATCATCGAAGGACGAGTCGAGGAAATTGACGACG